AAAATCAGGAGTGGATCGTATATCTGTGAAAATTTAGAATAGCTTATATGTTTTAATGCTTAATCATGTAAAAATAAAAACAAAACATTGTGGTCCAAAAGGAAAAAATAATAATATTGGTGGTGTTGACATTTAGGTGTACAAAACTAGATGTTGGCCGATTCTCAGACCTACCCGGTAATCGGTACAGCCGATTCGGAGAAATTGCGCAACAAATACCGTGACACCAGAATTTTATAGATATAACTGTTTTTATTATTATTTTTCGTCAGAGGTAGATTGTAGAAAATTGAAATATGAAGCTTTCTTAACTTTCATTCTTCAAAACATAAGTGTTTTTTATTGTTTACTATTAAATTTCATATTCTCACTAAATTAAGTGGCCTGAGCTTCTTAATTTTTTGTACCCTGAACAGGGTTTATTAAGTTTGCCACGAAGTTTGCAACACCCAGAAGGAAACGTCGGAGACCCTGTAAAATATATACAAAAACAAGAAAAAACGTTAACTTCGGTTACACCGAAGCTATAATACCCTTCACAAATACAAAGGCCCCTTACATGAACTTGATTCCGAACTTTCAATTTGTATGGCAGCTATGTGATATAGTGATCTGATCTGACCAATTCCTGTGGAGAATAATTTTTTGCCTTAAGCAAGAACTCGTGTCTAATTTCGTGAAGATACCTCGTCAAATAAAAAAATGTGCCATGCAAGCACTTTACTCCGATCGTTCAGTTAATATGGCAGCTACATGTCATAGTCTTCCGATCTATACAATTTCTTCGGCGATTAGATTAATGCTTTAAATAATAATACATGCCAAATTTCGTGCAGATTCCTCGTCAAATGAAAGAGCTTTCCATACAAGCACTTGATTCCGATTGTTCAGTTTGTATGGCAGCTGTATGGTATAGTGATCCGATCTATACAATTTCTTCGGAGATTGGATTAATGCCTTAAATAATGATACGTGCCAAATTTCGTGAAGGTACCTCGTCAAATGAGAGAGTTTTCCATAAACGTTCTGGGTAAAGTGGTTGCATCGAAAACTTTTTCATTTGACGAGATATATAACGAAATTTAGCATGGATAATTATTTAAGGCAGTGATCCAATCTCGGAAAAAATTGTTTAAATCAGATCACTATAGCATATAGCTGCCATACAAACTGACCGATCGATATCATGTGCTTGTATTGAAAACTCTTTCATTTAACGAGGTATCTTCACGAAATTTGGCATGGATTATTATTAAAGACAACAATGCCATCTCCGAAGAAATTGTATAGATCGGATGACTATAGCAAATCGCTACATTTAACTAAATGATCGGAGTAAAGTGCTTGCATGAAAGCTTATTCATTTGACGAGGTATCTTCACGAAATTAGGCATAACTTATTGTCTAAGGCAAAAATGTAATCACCGAATAAATTTTGCAGATCACCTCACTAGAATATATAGCTGCTGTACAAACTGAACAATCGGAATCAACTGCTTATATGGAAAACTTTTTCATTTGACGAGGTATCTTCACGAAATTTGGCATGGGTTATTGTATAAAGCAATACTATTATCTCCGAAATTGTTCAGATCAGATCACTTTATCATAGCTGCCTTACAAATTAAAAATCGGTTTCACCGAAGCTACGTTTTTTCTGGTTTTATTCCTCTTTTTATTTTCGATTTGTGAATCTTCTGAGTTTTGGTTGGCTGGGCTTCATGTTTGTAAATCTTGGTGTAGGATTGTCTCTCCTTTTTATGATTTTCTGAATATCACATTATTTATTTCTAGCCTTTTCGGATCTTGTCTATCCGATTCCACCTATTTTATTCAACTCACCGATTCTAATCTTCATCTTATTGATACTCTCGCAACTTGTTGCTACAGAGTATAATAGTTTTGTTCACCTAACGGTTGTTTGTATCACCTAAAACTAATCGAGTTAGATATAGGGTTATATATATATAACTGATCAGCATGAAGAGACGAGTTGAAATCAGGGTGACTGTCTGTCCGTCCGTCCGTCTGTCCGTCCGTGCAAGCTGTAACTTGTAACTAAAAACAAATAAATTGCCATAACTAAGCTCCACAACAAGATACAAGACTCTTAACTAATAAGTTTAATATGCATATCTTCTATACCACTGAAGCTATAATAACAAAATTCACTGGGAACAAATGTTTTTAGCATCTCTATCGGCAGTGTGAAAATGGGTGAAATCGGGTGAAAACCCCCCATTCCCCATATAACGGTACTGTTAAAAACTACTAAAAGTGCGATAAATCAAGCACTAAACAAGCCAGAAACATTTAATTTCATCTCTGGGATGGTATTAGATGATTTTATAGGAACCACGTTCAAAATTAGTCAGTGGGCGTGACACCGCCCACTTTTAGGTGAAAACTCATATCTTGGGATCTTTTTAACCGATTTCAACCAAATTCGGTACATAATATTCTTCTTATATTTCTATGTTATAGTACGAAAATGGGCGAATCATTTTAAATTCCATCTGATTTTTTCACTTGCCAGTAGGCAAGTCAAGCAACAATGATTATATCGGCGCAAAACTTTGCGTGAATAATACGTTTAATGTATGCCACCATATTGTGACCAAAAATTATCTAAATTGAACCAAAACTGTTCGAGCCCCAAGATACTGAATATGTGGACCCCAGTGCCTATAATTGACTTTTTACCGTAAATAGCGGTCAACATAGAACAAGGCGGCAAGATCCACAAAGAAATCTAAAACGACTATACCATTTAACTCTGCGAAAGTATAAAATGTTCATTGTTACATCCGTACTTAGCTCTTCCTTACTTGTTTCTATTTCATCTTTAGCTTTGGGATATAGTACACTCTGAAAATCATTAAATATTTGAACATAGTCATGTTCATTGTTCAAAGTCGTCTCTTTGTTAAATAAATTTCATCTTCCATAAAAGTTTTATATGGAGTATATTTAGTTGTCGAATGGATAGCGATATTGTATGTGATTCACGTCTTCTTTGTTGACCGATATTTTCGGTAAAAAGTCAACTTTAGGCACTGGGGTCCACATATTCAGTACCTAGGGGCTTGGACAGTTTTGGTTCAATTTAGATCAATTTAAAGTGATGTTATATGGGAAATAGGCGTAGTTGTAATTTCGCCCACTTTCGTATCATCACATAGAAATATGAGAAGAATATTATGTACCTAATTTGGTTGAAATCGGTTAAAGAAATCCCAAGATATGGGTTTTCACCTCAAAGTGGGCGGTGTCACGCCCACTGACTAATTTTGAACGTGGTTCCTATAAAATCATCTAATACCATCCCAGAGATGAAATTAAATGTTTCTGGCTTGTTTAGTGCTTGATTTATCGCACTTTTAGTAGTTTTTAACAGTACCGTTATATGTGGAGTGGGCGGGGTTGACATCCCGATTTCACCCATTTTCTCACTGCCGATAGAGATGCTAAAAAAATTTGTTCCTAATGAATTTTGTTATTATAGCTTCAGTGGTATAGAAGATATGCACATTAAACTTATTAGGGGGCGGGACCACAAGTAACAGCTTGTACAGACGGACGGACAGACAGTCACCCTGATTTCAACTCGTCTCTTCATCCTGATCATTTATATATACATAACCCTATATCTAACTCGATTAGTTTTAGGTGATACAATTAACCGTTAGGTGAACAAAACTATTATACTCTGTAGCAACAAGTTGCGAGAGTATAATAATCACGCATATATGAAATGGCTTTCGTATTTTTTGTTTAAAGTATTTCATTTTTCTCTTTATGTTGGTAGATACGTATTTCTATCAGAGAAAAAACTTAATTTACTTCATAACAACTTTGACACAAATTATTATTAATTTCATGTGTTTGTAGGCACTGAGGTCCACATATTCGTTATCTAGGGGCTTGGCCAATTAGGATCCGATTATGACCAATTTTAAACTTGAGATAGCATTTCATAAAGGCACTGTTCGTGCAAAGTTTAGTCCAATATATTTCATGTTGTTTGAGTTGTGTACGGTAAACTGGAAAGTGGTAGTGAATCATACGAAATAAATAATTGTGTAATATGGGAAAGAGACCTGGTTGTCGTCCGCTTTTGTCCATTTTCACACCGTTACATAGGAATAGCACGATAGTGTTAAACACCAAATTTGAAATTATTCGAGCAGGTCCTATACCACACCCATTGTGCAATTTTTATACCAGCTCCCATGAAACCCTTCATGCCGTCCGCGGTGTCAAATTTAATGCTTCTGGCGCATTTATTTTGTAAGTTATCTCACATTTAGTAATTCTATACATAACTAATATAATATATGGGGAAGTGCATGGTTTTTATCTGATTTTACATTTTTTTTTTTGTTTTGTATCACAATGTCGGAAGGTATACTAAAAATATTGTTCCTGAGCTAATTTGGCTTTAACGGTTTGGGAAATATGTATGTATATTAAACCTATTGTTAAATTCTCAGATTTCCCTTACTAATGCGTTTCGCTATACCAAATAACAGTTCTATATCATATTTTAAAGCCTAGTTATAGCCTTTTATATGTTTGCGCATATTGTGGGCGTAGCAATTGCCGATTCCACCCATTTGCAATACCAACCCCCTCTTGGGTGCCAAGGGACATGTGTACCAAGTTTCACCACGACGGACAGACAGACAGTCATCATGATAATTTATGCATATATATATAACTCTATATCTATCTTGATTAGTTTTAGGTCTAAGAAACAACCGATAGGTAAACAAAATTTATTATACATACGTACTCCGTAGCAACATGTTGCGAGAGTATAAAAATATTACACATATGTGTGAGCTTTAAAATAAAGAAGCCAAAAATTAAAAGTATAATAAGAAATTAAAAATTGTTTCGAAGGTGTTATATGGTACATATGCGGGGAAAATAAAGCAGTGCTTAACTAAACATCTCCATATTATTTGTTTTAATAAATAATTTCATATTATTCACAGAAATGAAAAATTCTATACATGCTGTGACGAACCATACTTGGATATTACGTTTAACATAACCATGAGGAGAAAAACATTGTTTTATACCGTTAACATAATCATCCCATGTATGGGAATTTCATTTCTAACAGTCTTGACTTTCTACTTACCCTCGGACAGCGGCGAAAAGGTAAATATTTTTTTACAATAAGTATATACGTATACTAAACATTATTTTACCACATACGTTATTTTTAAGAAATAGTTTTAAAAACAGTTTTCACTATATTTGCGGGGTATATAATTACTCGTATAACAAATTCCATATAATTTCTTTGTTGTTAGAACAATGTCAGCAATTTTTCGATTTAAAACAATTAAAAGCACGTAATTCACTGATGAATAAAATGTTCTTGATTATTGTTTATAAGCTTTTATGCACAGCGAAACAAGAGTATTTGGAAAGTGTTTTGCTCAAATCTGCTGCAGAGATTAGAACAAACTGAGGGCATTCTTTTTTAATTTGAGGTAGTTCTGGAAAATTTTCAAAAGGTTTGTATGTACGTTGTTTGGGATTGGGGCTAGAGGCAAGCAAAAGAAAAAAAGCAAAAGTCGAAGACTAAAGAACGAAATAAATCTCGACGAAATAACTGCATTTACTTGTAACTACTTAAGAAGATTCTGAGCGAAAAACCGGTGTTAGGTATATTCAGTCAAAAGAATGAAACTGGAGTTCATACCGACGCTTCCGTTGAGGGCTATGTTGCCGTGTTACTGCAAAATATTCCACACGACAACCAATTACATCCCATATATTACATGAGCTAAAATGCGTCTGTTGCTGAACGTAAGTAATCTAGTTACGTAATGGAAATATTCGGTTCGATTCCCGTTTTTTTGTCGTTTTAAAACGAAAAAAGAATGGCTATGTGGCATTCCTCTTAGCGTTATCAACATTTATTGAAAATAAATTCGTATTCCCCATTTTCGAATTGAGGAACGAAGCGACGATAACAACGACAACAACTTGGAAAGGACAACGGGCATAGGGCCCATTAGCTGAAATAGCAGCTCTGAAAAAGTTTTGATTGTATTAACTGGGCTCACACATTAAACTAATAGCTGATTGCAATTCTTAAATTAAACGCTTGCGATAAAAACGGGAGGCGCGATGGATTATTTTTCTGTGAGAGTATGATTACTAGGGTAAACATTAATTTGGAAGTCTTTTGAGGTTCATTGACAGCCGTTACCCAGTCATGATGGTAAGCGAAGATCATTTTCTTGTTTGCTTATGACGTGCACAAGAACGCAACGAAGTGTTAGAGTGAACTAACAAATTTTATAAATATATATTCGTAGTGATTCGTTCGAAATTTGCATGGCTACTCTGCTGGTAGCGTTTGGAGATACAAAGTTCAATATTGGGAAATAGAGCGACTTAATACGGTTATTATAAGCGTCTTTTCGCCTTAGCGCATTTCCGATGGGATTCTAGGGTAAGTCTACCTCCGTACACTAGTCGTTTCAAACTTATTAATCTACCTATTAAAATATTTTTAGTGAAAATCTTGAATGGAACAGTTTGCAGTTGTTTTCTCCTGTTAAATTTAATATCCCGGTTCGCTTTTCGAGGCAGTTTATACCTTTACTGTTAAAATCTTGTAGATCAAATTTTGAACTAAACGAACCATTCCGCCATATATGTCATGATTTTAATTCTCATTCCAACACATTTGACTTATCTGACTCCCTTTTCAAAATTAAAAAGACTTTATTGTTTTCTCTTAATAAATGAAAATGTAACAATTTATTGTATTATATCGTAACTATAAACATTAGCTGTTGAAATTTTTGTTTCTGTAGCTGAGCAGTTTTAGATCTCAACAATTAAAAAGCTCTCTTGCCTTTTCTGACTCGGCTAATTCCGCATGTATGCGGATTGCGCCCCTCGCGTCGGTTGGGCGGGAGGAGGGTAATCGTTGGGTTATTATTATTATTATAAACGAAACTGAACAGGGATGAATCGATGAAGTGGTACAAACTCAGAGACACAGTCAAGCAAGTAAAAAATTCCACATACAACAGAAGTATTGACATGGCACCTTCTGAATTACTAATGAGCGTTAAAATGCGAACAGCTAAAGAATATAATATCAAGAAACTTATCTCCGAGGAAATAAGATTACGAGTCCAAGAAGGAAGAATCGAAATACGACAACATGCAAAAGAACAAATATTAAAGACACAAACTGAAAATCAAAGGACATACAACCTTAGACGCAAAGAAAGTAACCAATATTTAGTCAACCATTTAGTCGGCGTGACACAGTTTGGTGGTGCTCTCAAATGAAGCTAAAGTATTTGGGTCCACATCAAATTGCCAAAGTCAAAACTAATAACACATATTATGTTAAGAAAGTCAGTGTGTTTTCGAGAAGTTTTAAACAAGTGAATGCTTTAAATCACATACCCATACGCATGGACGCCCGAGACGACGAAAGAAGTTATTTTTATAAATATAAATATAATGTTCTAAAATGATTATTCAATAATTTCGTCAAATATGGAATAATTTCCACACATGAAACAGTTACTTGCCGAGTGGAAATTTGCGACGAATTAGAAGAGCATCGGTCTACGGAATAGCCTAAGTTCAAAAGAAAATAGCAATTTTTTTCAAATTTTCGTTTTTTTTTTTGGTTGGTTTAGAATTTATCGGTATTACTGCATGTTTACTAAACAAAATAGTTGATCCAAACTTTGTCTGCAAATATAATATAATTTTTCACATTTTGTAAATTCAAATTTTGTAAAAATTATTGTCTCAACTTCAAGCCTTTCGTTATTAAAGTCCTTAAGTCTATCTAATATATTACAATATATAAAACTCTCGTGTCACGATGTTTGTTGCCAAACTTCTCTGAAACGGCTGGACAAATTTTTATAAAATTTAATGCGCTTATCGTGTAGAACTGAGAATCGGCCAACTTCTATTTTTCATACCCCTGAATGTTAAGTGTGGCCAACCCAATTTTTTTTTGTGTTTTGGACAAATTTTTTGTTTTTAATTTTTCATGATTCAGCATTGAAAAATAATACAATTATAGTTTTTCAACTTTAAACGACCAACTCCTGATTTTTAATTGATATTTTTATATTTCTGTTCCATCCACAAGATTGAATTCGTATATAATAATTGTAGTTGTAGTAACATAATTTTTATGTATAGTTCTATCAATCAATCAGTTGTCCTGGTTTTTCCCGTTGTTACTTCTCTACCAGCAAACATCACGGAGTAGGGGAAAAAAAACAGCTTCCGTTTTCTCACTCTAAATACAATTTTCGTCCATTTTTATACTCTTGCAATATATTGCTAC